AAAAAAAAAAAGAAATAGTCACAAATATAATTTATGCTATATAACTAAGTTACCTTTCAATTAATGTATGTCAAATTTTAAAAATGCATTTACTTTTTTTTTTTTTTTGAGACAGATCTCACTTTGTCACCCAGACTGGAATGCAGTGGCACGATCTTGGCCCACTGCACCCTCCACCTCCCAGGTTCAAGTGATTCTCCCACCTCAGCCTCCCCAGTAGCTGGGATTACAGGCATGTGCAACCAGGCCTAGCTAATTTTTGTATTTTTTGGTAGAGATGGGGTTTCACCATGTTGACCAGGCTAGTCTCAAACTCCTGACTTCCGGAGATCCTACTGCCTCAGCCTCAAACTCCTGACTTCAGGAGATCCTCCTGCCTTGGCCTCCCAAAGTGCTGGGATTACAGGTGTGAGCCACCATGCTCAACTGCAATCACTTTTTATGTAGTAGTAGTTATCATTAAGGAGCTACTTTATACCAGGTATATACATTATTTCATTTACTTTTCAAAACAATCCTAAGATTTGGCACTATCATTATTTGAATTTTATTGGTGGGGGAAATTAGAGAAGTAGAGTGACTTGCCCAAGGTCACACAGCTACTAGTGACAGAACCAGGACTGAAGTCAGGCATTTTGATTCCAGAACTCCTTTCTTAACCACTTTGCCAAGTTCCTTCTCCATAGCCCAAAGAAATGCACAGTAGTGTATTTGTGGAAAAGGAGATACCTTTGGTTATTTTGTTTAAAACAATTTTGTTTTTAAGTCTCTCTTAGGGCCAAATTTACACCATGGAAAGTGAAAGATTCTAGGACTCAATAGATTTTGTGTCACTCTTCTAAAAAAGATATAGAAAAGATGGAATGGGAAAAATTGAGACAGTGTACTCCTCACCAACACATTCATATACCCATTCAACGTCTCTCTATTTCTACTCAGGTGTTCATAGTGTAGCAAATACATCACCTCAAGGATCAGACATTCAAAGACCAGCTGTATAACCACGGGCAGTTTACTTAATCTGCCTGTGTTTTAGTTTCCTTGGAAGTATGTTCAGATTATATGAGATTATTTAGAGTATCAGGCACATAGTAGATGTTTGATAAATAATAGCTATGATTATTATTGTTATTGTTGTTATATATCCTTACCACAGAGGGTATGAGAGAGCTGGGTTTTTCCAGTACGAAATTCTGTGAAATACAGAAAAAAAAGATTTAAAAAATGCGTAATTTCTAGATATTTTCATAAAGAATAAAACATGGCCTCAGAGTATTACTGTTTTCTTTTTCTTTTCCAACTGACACATCTTACTTATAAAGTACCTCGGGTGTTATTTTTTATTTTTTTTTTGAGACAGAGTCTCGCTCTGTCACTCAGGCTGGAGTGCAGTGGCACGATCTTGGCTCACTGCAACCTCCGCCTCCCGGGTTCAAGCGATTCTCCTGACTCAGCCTCCTGAGTAGCTGGGATTACAGGTGCCTGCCACCACGCCTGGCTAGTTTTTGTATTTTTAGTAGAGATGGGGTTTCACCATATTGGCCAGGCTGGTCTCAAACTCCTGAACTCAGGTGATCCGCCCACCTCAGCCTCCCAAAGTGCTGGGATTACAGGCGTGAGCCTGTATTTGTTTAATATAAATTAATTTAAACCAAGTTTTCCTTAGTTGTATAAATTAAAGTTTAAGACTCTACCACATGGGGTAAAGTGCAGTGACTCACACCTGTAATCCCAGCACTTTGGGAGGATGAGATGAATGGATCACTTGGGGTCAGGAATTTGAGACCAGCCTGGCAAACCCCATCTCTACCAAATATAAAACAATTAGCTGGGCATGGTGGCTCATGCCTGTAATCCTAGCACTTTGGGAGGCCAAGGCGGGCAGACTGCATGAACTCAGGAGTTTGAGACCAGCCTGGGCAACATGGTAAAACGCCACCTCTAGTAAAACATAAATAATTACCTGGGTGTGGTGGCGTGCACCTGTAGTCCCAGCTACTTGGGAGGCTGAGGCAGGAGAACTGCTTGAACCTAGGAGGCAGAGGTTGCAGTGAGCCGAGATCAGGCCACTGCACTCCAGCCTGGGCGACAGAGCGAGACTC